TAGTAAACATTTTCAAAGTGGCAGATCACAGTTCTTTTTGTAGTTGACTAAATAGGGAAAACTCCTCTGTATCCAAACACCAAAGTGCTGTTCTCTACATCCATTACAGCATGAAAACGAAGCTCAGGAAGTCAAAGAATTGAGCTTCTGGAAATTTCGCCATATTGAGGCATGAATGTCTTTACTGACAGTAGAAAATCCTGATTATTTCATATATGATAGAGGATGCTTTGAACCACTTCCCCACAAAAAATCATAGATTGAAAACAAGAAGAACATTTTTTATGACGATTTGTATGCCAAAACGAACTTATTTTTTAGCCAACCAATATTTTGGCAGGTGTTCTACGCCACGCTGTTAAAGGCAGTGTCTAACCAAAATTTAATTGCCGAAATTTTTGCATTTTGCAAGCTTGTCGGACCCTGTCTAGCACTGCATGGTTTCAAAATTACACGAAGTTTCTAAAACCCCCTTTTTCTGGAGGTCCCGCGGAAGCAACGTGGACGAGATGTACCTTCCAACTTCAGCCTCAACCACAGTGGCAGCAACAAAGAGGAGGTGGATGCCAAGTGAGGGGCATGTTCAAACGCGTAAGAAGGGAGACCGAAGGAGTCGTCCGAGCGTACCAAATCGCTCTCCGCGTACCACTTCGAGCGAATTTTTCTCAGCGTAGAGGGGTCAAATTGAGCGGGACTTGTTGCAATGGTCTATTTAGAGGTCCTTATGATAAAATATGTGAAGATCCGCGCGAGCTCAACTTTGGTGAGACAATGACCTTAAAGGCAGTGTCCAGACTAATCTGAGCGCATGAGTTTTTCGTCTGGAAACTGATGAGGAGGTTCTAGTTAAAGCACTGTACAAAGTGTAGCGCAAATGATTCATTCACGGCAATACATCCTCAAACACTCCGCGCCTGCAGGTCCCAGCGCGAACGTACCTTTAAAGGGCAGGTTCGTCGTTTTCTGGTAACGGCGCAGGCGCATGGTTTTCGGGGATGGATTTCCGGCTGCGGGTCAGGAGTCACTATTTTTCGCGAAGCGACGCCGTAACGCGACATCAAGCGGTACACGGCACAGCTTCCGTCAGTACTCCTGCCGCAGTGTTTGTTATGCCATCGAGTCATGTATCTGCCGCCACCCCCCACCCCCCTACTGTGGCGCCGTGCCACTTTAGCACCAAAGAGTTATTGTGAGGCACAAAATTTGGGCGCGGCGAGCGACCACCGCGCGCGGTGTGACTCCTGACCCGGAGCCTGGATTTCCCAGCCGTGAATGAACCATTTGCGCTGCCGCTTGGGCAGTGCCTTAGTTACGGCATCTCATCAAATTTAAGGAGAAACACCCACGCGCCTAGATTTGTTTGGACACTGCTTTCAAGTGTGTGGTCCCGACGCATTTGTGACGGCTGTGCGGCGCAACGGATCGCCACAGGCGGAATCGTCGCGATTTTGCCGAATCGGCGTGATGTCGCTTCGCCCGTTTGCAGCGAGCGACGAGGCGACCGTCGCATAATTTCTAAGCCGTGTTTCCGATTTCATTGATGTATCTTGCCGTTTTTGCTAGTTGTGGGTGCTTTTGGACGAAATATTGCTATTTTTGCTATTTATGAGTGTTTTTGTATAAAGTACAAGTAAATGAAATTTCGTCAGAGGTATGCACGCTCCAAACAATAAGCAACTCTGTCGCCCCTTCGTCGCGTGAGCTATGCCCGGAGCCTAATACACCGACCACAATCATGTCTAACGAAAATCTAGAAATGCCCTGTTGCATGGAAATTCTTGCTCAGACCCTTCGACCCCTTCAAAAGTTAGCAAACTCAGGATTTGGGAATCTTTGACAAAGAAGGTGTTTTAGCTAAACGCTCCTTTCGACTGTCCCGAATTTGTATATATTTTGCTCTGCCTTTTTCTCATTTAAGAAAATTCACATTGTAAAGAAACAAAAGACTGTTTGTCAGAAAGGTTCGACGTCACCAAATATGAGTGAATATGCACACTAGAGAATAGCAAGTACTAGGTTCAGCCAAAAGAGATAAATGACCGTGTTAGAATTGTTTTTGTTATCTACGACATCTGATATCGATTGTACAATAAAAGGGGAAATTATGTGCTTTGTAATGAGGCCTTGGCGGATCTTGTAATCACGCAATGGAAATAAAAGCAAAAGGAAAGAATATTAGTACGAGCTGTCAATAAGCAACCTCGCTAAAAAACGGGGAGTGTTGCAAAAACACTATGAGAATAATAGGTCTTAGCAAGCAGTAATAAATGTTTCATAGCCCACTCTTCTAATCAAACAAAGATTATGTTAGAAAACAGTAAGTCCAATATTTGCGCATCCATTTTATTTTGCGGTCCTGGTTCTCTCAAAAACCATAAGTTCTCATGAAGACATTCAGTCAGCACATAGTTTGCTCAACTTACAATAGTGCCACAGAATTTTGAGTTTCATTTCATACTAGCTGATAGTCCTGGCCTCAGCCGAGACTCCAAATTATTTTGACTCACAAAACGTGTAAACTTAAGCTTCTCAACTTCTTCAAATGTGCGCAAAAAGCGCTTTGAGACGACTTGCCGCATCCTCCCGACTTTGAGATGGAAATGGACCATGCTGTAAATCTAACAAGGGAATGGTCAGCAGTCGAAGTGGCCAGTCCATACAAGCTGCATACCATTGAATGCAGTATAAAACGCTGACTCTAAATATATCTTCCTTATCTGCAAAGCGCTTCTGTGGACGAAAATATAAGCCGTTGCAGGCCATTATTTGCTAAGAAATTGTGCTTGTAAAGTGTAAACTTGGCTGTACTAAGCCATTCTCGGCTCAGTGTTGGACCAAAACAAGCAACTAGGTCGCTTCATGTGGATCGTACCTAGAGGTGAGCTGCAAGAGCAATAATGTGGCTAATTTCGCAAATTTTGTATACGGTTTTTTCGCAGTAAAGCTGCTCATAAATTCGTCTACAAAGGCGCTCTGCAGATATGGAAGACAGATTTGAAATCAGCATTCTATGCTGCATCGAATGGTATGCAGCTTGTATGGATTGGCCACTTCGACTTCTGACCATTTCCTTGTAAGTTGAAGCCAGCTCTACAGAATAGTTCTTAAGCTTCTTCAAAGACTTCATAATAACTGGATGACTAACGACCAAACGATATTCTTTCAAAGGCAGCGTCCAGGCTAAGTATAACCCCTACCGATTAGTGCCGATCCGAATGTAGGCCCTAGGAGAGGGGCATCTGCGTCGTCCCGGTCCTCTCATGTTGTCTCTGAATAATGATAATAGGTATGGAAGAGTCAAAGTGCTGTCAAGTCAAGCTCAAATCCTATCAAGCCCTGCCTACCCATGAACCGAAAGACGTCTCCGCCCTCAAGACAGGGTCCTCAGGAACCGGGTTTTTGGGAGTTAGATAATTTGGACATCATAACCGTAATCAGAGCCACGAAAAGCCCCAAAATGGCAGAAATATGGGAGGCGAAGTTTTGGTGGACGCTGCCTTCAATATACACTGTGTAAAACAAAATCTGTCGGAGTGTTTGTTCCGGGACTGATTAGTTACAAATCGTAGAGAAATCAGCGTCAATTGCGCAGTGCTAATGTCGCGCACGCATACAGATGGGTAAGGGACTATACGCCGCCAATAGTCTTCACCCCAGCAGACTGTTGTGGAAATTCGTTTTCTGTAACGGGTGGAATCATACTTTGGGATAGACCAAGCCGCCAGTTTGAGCCGCTTCCACGGACTACTGGTCCTCCTGCAACGACATGCAACAACACTGCAGAAGGACTAGTTGGCCGCAAAAGACGGCTCAAACGGCCTTCGTTCCCCTATTCCATACTTTGTAGCAAGTGTGACCATCCCCCTTCGGCGCCATGTACTCCTCACCCCATTCAGATATTCGAATACAGCCCATTCTGACATTGTCAGAACTTCTTCCTTAGCCAAACTTACTTGCACTTCTTGCGTTTTTCGAATAACTGAGAAAATACGGAGTGTCAAAGGGGGCGTGCTGTTCACAGACAATGATTTTGGAAAATATTCCTGATTTAGTATCTTTAATGAATATTTGGAGCAGTGAAGTCAACCCTTGGCAAAGGGGGAGGAAAGGGGAACAAGCTTTTCTGCAGAAGGCGCAAACAACTCATCTGTAGAGGTGTAACGAAATGTGAGCTGTATCATGGCATATGTCGGAAAATGTAGGAGATAGTATGCCAATCAGTTTTTTCTATGACCGAGTATTTCACATGTTTAGTTTGCTAATGCTGTCGAGTGTAGTGCCGCTTTGGAAGTTTTTGCTCAATAACTGTTATAGGTGACGACAGAGGCAAAAACTTTTCCTGGTTTTGACGTTAGAGTGAACATAGAAAAAGATGAATGATTCTGTCGCAATTACTTTGAGTGTCTTTCCTGAAAATTCCGTACTTTCAAACTTAATATACGACTCACTATGATCTCACTAAACGCTAATTTTTCTCTCGAATGGACAAACGTATGGTTGGAAGAAATTATGGCTGCAGCACAGAATCTCATTGTGTTTATTTGGGAGAAAAGTGCATATAACAACGTGATCTTTATCTTTATTCGGGAATCGAAATCGCTTCAAACAATCAGTCAAACACATCAAAACTAACTGTGAGCTTCTATTATATATTGTTTTGGCATGATTTGAATACTAACTTGCAAGCACACATTTTTTATGCATTTAAAGCCGTAGCCACCGCAGTCGGAGTCAACCCTGCAATTTTTCGCGTATACGCAAGAACCACCTATGCACGTGTATCCTTCGGGGCAAGCACCGTTCACGCAGTCGGTTATCGGCTGAGGCGGGGGCGGCGGTATTATATGTGGAATCTGGCCAGAATATGAAAAATTGGGTCCAACTTTTGGTGTTGTCTGTGGCTGTAAAACATTACAGAGGTTCTGAATACATCTTATCTGTGGACTTCCACAATCATAGTCATTCTGGCAAAATTTCTTTACAACGCAGAAGTTATCCACGCACGCAGCTGACGGAGAACAAGGGCACATCTGCAGGATGGATTCCGGCCTCCATTCAGGCTTTGGAACGCAGATCCGTTGATTACAATCGAATCTTGGATCACAATCAGTAGTGGTTGAGCAAACTTTACCTTGCACGCAAACGTCATCAACGCATGTGAATGTTCCTGGACAGGCACCTTGCTGACAAGGTATCGGCTTTCCCTGCGAAATACCTAGGTTTCCAGTTGATAAGCCTGAATTTCCCTGCGGAATACCTAGGTTTCCAGTTGATAAGCTTGGATTCCCCTTTCCAACTAATAAGCCTGAATTTCCCTGCGAAATACCTAGGTTTCCAGTTGATAAGCCTGAATTTCCCTGCGGAATACCTAGGTTTCCAGTTGATAAGCTTGGATTCCCCTTTCCAACTGATAAGCCTGAATTTCCCTGCGAAATACCTAGGTTTCCAGTTGATAAGCTTGGATTTCCCTTTCCAGCTGATAAGCCTGAATTTCCCTGCGAAATACCTAGGTTTTCAGTTGATAAGCCTAAATTTCCCTGCGAAATACCTAGGCTTTCAGTTGATAATCCTGAATTTCCCTGCGGATTACCTAGGTTTCCAGTTGATAAGCCTGAATTTCCCTGCGGAATACCTAGGTTTCCAGTTGATAAGCTTGGATTCCCCTTTCCAACTGATAAGCCTGAATTTCCTTGCGAAATACCTAGGTTTTCAGTTGATAAGCCTAAATTTCTTTGCGAAATACCTAGGCTTTCAGTTGATAATCCTGAATTTCCCTGCGGATTACCTAGGTTTCCAGTTGATAAGCCTGAATTTCCCTGCGGAATACCTAGGTTTCCAGTTGATAAGCTTGGACTCCCCTTTCCAACTGATAAGCCTGAATTTCCTTGCGAAATACCTAGGTTTTCAGTTGATAAGCCTAAATTTCCCTGCGAAATACCTAGGCTTTCAGTTGATAATCCTGAATTTCCCTGCGGATTACCTAGGTTTCCAGTTGATAAGCCTGAATTTCCCTGCGGAATACCTAGGTTTCCAGTTGATAAGCTTGGATTCCCCTTTCCAACTGATAAGCCTGAATTTCCTTGCGAAATACCTAGGTTTTCAGTTGATAAGCCTAAATTTCCCTGCGAAATACCTAGGCTTTCAGTTGATAATCCTGAATTTCCCTGCGGATTGCCTAGATTTCCAGTTGATAAGCTTGGATTCCCCTTTCCAACTGATAAGCCTGAATTTCCTTGCGAAATACCTAGGTTTTCAGTTGATAAGCCTAAATTTCCCTGCGAAATACCTAGGCTTTCAGTTGATAAGCCTAAATTTCCCTGCGAAATACCTTGGTTTCCAGTTGAAGATGATGTGCCTGGTTGCGATATTGAGAGTACAGTACAGACTGACGCTATGCATCTCATTTGTGGACTTCCACAGTCGTAATCATTGCGACAGCGCAGATCAATCATGCAAAAGTTGTGCACGCACTTAGATAGTGAAGGGCAAGTATTATCAAGATTATTTGAGCACATCAGCAAACCGTTTTGTGTCCTAAATTGAGTTTTCGGAATGCAATTTTGCAGCATGCATTCGAACCGTGGATCGATGCAATCATTGTTAGTTGTGCATTGTGCACCGCGTACGCAAACACCACTAATGCAAACGTATTGTGGAGGGCAGTTACCATTTTGGCACGGTATTTGTCCTGATGCACCTTGACCATTCTGTGTTGTTATTTGAGATTGTTGGAGCGACATCTGTCCCGAGCTCACCGGAGGTTTTGGTTCAGACAGTAGAATACAGACTGACTGTATGCATTTAAGATGAGGGCTGCCACACTCTTCGTCGTTATGACATTTCAAGTTGACTACGCAAAAGTTGTCCACACATGTTGCTGGTGAGATGCAAGAACTGTCTATTTTACACGTCGTCAACTTATCTGGCCTCCACTGGTGCTTGGGAACGCAAAACTGTCGGTTACACTCAAACCTTGGATCATCACAATCAGCGTTACTTTTGCAAGACACTCCTTGTGCGCAGATGTTGTCAATGCATACAGATGGTGCAGTGCAAGCAGCATCATTTTGGCACTGCGGCGATGAAGTTGTCCCTGAAACTCTTAGTCAATAAGCTGAGGGGCGGTATGCAGTTCATGAAGTATCTATAAGAAATAGTATGTGTTGAAGCAAAAATTGCGATTGTAACGCTAGAGCATATTAGCACGGTTCGTTTAGTGGAATGCCTCAGTCGATTTTATTCTGACAGGCTTTTATTATGCAAGGTACTCAGAGGCGATACTAACCGTTAAACAGTGTCCAGATCTTCAAAGTATTCAGCAGGATAAGTTTACTCAAACTCAATCTGTGCTACCTCTTGCCTTATTTGGGGCTCACATTCGCTTTTCAAAAGCACCATGCGAATTTGAGTTGGCATTGCCTTTAGCAAGGAAGCAGTATAGAGTTAGTTTGAAGACGAGCGCAAATGCTTTTTACAATTCTAGCTTAGGCGTTTACCAAGCGAATTTACGGAGTTAGACACAATTTTTGGCGGAGAGGTTTGGAAAGACTTATATAGGCTCATTCACGACTTTCGCACACCATTGCAAAGATAACAACTCCTTGTTGAAAAACCGTTGAGAAATTTCAATTTTGGCTGAACATTTGAATATTGGGTTCATCCAAAGTAAAATTAGTAGCATTATAAATTCAGATGTGTACTTCGCTCAGCCCTTCCTCTTCATGGTTAGTTTTTAGGACCATCTCATCGGCCTACGAGATATCGCTTTGAAAAGCATTTTTGTATAAACTTACCAGCATTCATCTGCCCAGCAGTCAAGCCGATCACGGCTAGGATGTAAGCCTGCAAAAGAAAACTAAATCTGGTGTGAAATCTATGACACATTTCTATTCGCCTAAAAGTTTGTTATTTATGAGTGGAAAGATGAAGAGAAAATTCTTACCACGAGCAAATCGAACATGGTCGAATTTGTTCGTTTTACCTAAACAGGCTTAAGTGTTATAATTGTAGACTTAGTAAAGCAAGTACATTAGCGCAATTGCCAACCCCACATAGAAATATCAAAATTCAAATGCCAGAAATTTTGTTTTTTTTTTGACACTAAGCGTGCACCACCGTATCCTATAATACAAATCAAAGTTTGTCTGATGTACAATAAGAAACGACTCGTTACATAGTTTAGCTTTTATTTTTGTTAGCGAAGAAGCGCCTTCAGTTGAAAGCTTGAACATGACTACAAGGTTTTGGAAAAGGTTTTCGTAGATTTTTCACATTGGTGGAATTTGCGTAGCGAGCATGGCTGAACACCTGGAGGAGTTCTCCAGGTGTTCAGCCATTTCTGTTGAGGAGGTTGCTAGATAAGAAATCGCTGAAACGAAGATTTGTGACGAAAGCGTAAGGACGGGGTTTTTATTAGGACTCATAGAGCTCGTCGCGTTCGCTATGCGCATAACAAATTATGCAAAACCATATCCAAAATGTTTGAGGCAAAGAAATTTTGACACACATGCAGTATAATTGCGTTGATATAGGAATAATCTCGCTGAAACACAATAAAATGCTTTCATGTCTGATGAATTTACGATTTTATGCATATGATGTGTAGTCTGTACTTTTTCAGAAAAGGATTATCTACACATCTTGCACATTATTCTCAGTTTCCCACTCATTAGTAGGCAGAGAAGATACTGTAGACATGAATAATTTAGAATGCATGTTCCTTTAACTAAATTCTGCTTTCTTAATCATCTCGCTAATTCCAAAGCTGCCATGGAATACAATTAGTGTCAGTTTGAACCAGCTTTGTAAATTTTCGCAACTCACCCTAAAATAAATGATATATATTTGTTTTAAAGCCCTCTGATACCTCGTAAGCACCACACCTTCTCATGTGGCTCCTCAAAATGCGTAGGTCGATCAGTTCCCGTAGTTTTGAAGGATTTCGAGAAGAAGTTTGATCTGATAAGTACTATTGATAACTTTTTGTTGCTCAAGTGCCTTATTTCAATTATAGAGGCAGCAGCACGGGTCTCAAATCTCCTTGAAACCATTCTTGATCCATTAAACGTAATGGCAGCTCAAAGGCAGCCTTCAGGCAGGCTTTTGACTTCTTTTTTTGCACTATTCAGCCTTTTTCATGGTGCTGATTCCAAATATGGCAGATATGGCACTCAAAAAGCGTGACCCCAAAAAACACCCTTTTGTTGCTATGCTGTAAGAACCCGAACGAGTGCTTCCGATGCTATCCTTGCCGAAAGCAAGTTTTAACATGTAAACGCTATGTCTTCGGTTGTGTTTGCCATGTGAAAATACGTCAAAGGCTGAGGAGATTTCGTTCACGGGGGTAGGGCGTGCGAGGAAGTGGGCGTGGTCTTCGAGGCTTGGGCTCTGTCTGCCTAGGCGCTGCCTTCAAGCACGACCGACATACGCACCCCAAAATGTCCGTAAGGAATGTTCGGGTACACTTTATAGAAAACTCCAGAAAAGCAAAATGGCAAAAATGCTATGACTCATTTTACCTATGTACCAGTTGCGGTCCCAGCATTTCCGTCCAAGACAGGAGGCAAAAATTTTTTCGTGTTATGTGCGTGGTATTAACCACGCACTCCGAAGATTTTTTTGGTATGCTTCCCAATTTTTTTGCGAGCCCATGATCCCAATATATTGAAAAAAGGGTTCGTGGCGGCAGCCACGCTAATTCGATTTTTCAAATAAATTCAAAAAAACCATTTTATTTACAAGTATAAACAAGCCACTTGCACATTTTTCATAGCCCATGTAAGTAACTTTCAAGAATTTCGAGACCCAGAAAATTAGGGTACATAGCAGTGGCGGTCCGAGGGAGGGGGCACACGCCACTGCTATGTACTTACAGCCTCCAGTGCTGAGTGAGTATATTCGTTTGTGTTGAGTACATCCAAGCCATGTGTTGCCGTAATTTTCAACTATAAATTAGATCAATGCAAAGCAGTACAACATGGAAGCTAATAAAATCGCGGTCACGACTGTCAAAGCCAAATATGCTAAATAGTCTCATGTGAGATAAAAAAAACTAGATTTCAGCTCGCAGGAATTTAAGATGTAAAATCCATTACAGAATGTTTGGTCAATGTTGTCAACCCCAAAAAACCGCATACTTGTACCTTTCATAAAGTTAGTTTACAAATCCTCCGAGTTTGCTACGTCTTCCAGAGACATTAAAGGCACCATTCACCCTGGCAAGGGAAGGATACCAACATTAGTCAAAAAAGCAATTGAAGATGTATATATCATTAGGTGCGACTTTGAACGCTGATTCTAAATCTGCTTTCCTTTTTTGCGGAATAAGTTTCCGAAAGAAGCTATGAGCGTTCGAATGTTAGGCTCCCGCCAGAGTGTCGAAGTTATGCCAGCGCTACGCCAGCATTTCGATCGATACACGTGTATTTCGTTGGGGACATCTACCTGCTGAGTTAGCCCCGCCCCAACGAAATACACGTGTATCGATCGAAATGCTGGCGTAGCGCTGGCATAACTTCGGCACTCTGGCGGGAGCCTTAGATTTGCCAAGCATTGAGTGGCTTAAAATCAGCGAAAACCTCTAAACAACACCTATGCGATTTCTACCGGCTTTGTTCTCTCCTTGCAAACAATATACTCGGCACAGAAATGCTTTTCCACTTTCCGGTGTTTTTGTGCAGCTTTTCGCCAATTTTGGGCCACCTAAACCTTGACAAATTTGAACATTTAAAGGCCCAAAACTTCTTTTAAAAACTTGATCCGCAAAAAAGAAAAGCAGATTTGGAATCAGCGTTTGAAGGCGCATCTACTGATATACATCTCATCTTCAATCGCCGACTAATGCTGGTATCCCTTCCTTCAAGATAGGGATTTTAAACTTTTGGAAGCTAACGAGAGTGAGATCCTTATGAAGCCAGTACTCAAGTTGCGGCTCAAAACGTCACTTCGAACGAGAAAGTTGCTTTCCAATAACGGAGAGGCATGAGGACCCAAGACGGCACCGCCTCCTCCAGTAACACTCGCCCATCCGTGCGCGCCCTCAATCATCTTCCAGACAACCGGCGTGGCCTCTCCGGAACAGGGATTATCGGAATTTTCGCGGATGTTCGACTTCGTATTCAGAATCAGGGGCATGAAAAGGCTCCGTGACGACCAAAACATGGAAGTCGAGAATCGGGGTGGGCGGTGCCGGTGCCTCTAATGAGTGCTCTTGCTTTTGACGCGTACACCAATCATATTTTCGTCTATTTGCGCTGATGAATGGGTAGCGCATAGTAATCGTGTAGTTTCAACTTAAGAAATAAAGAAATTTCCTTTCTGCCAGTTTTGTTTACGATCTGCTCTAAACATCCATTTGTTTAAATGATTTCATATCCTAACTTCATCAAAGTAGACTATATGTCATAAGACTACAAAAAATTCAAAGTTCTCAATTTTATCTGTCAGTGGTACTTTTAATATAGTATAGGCGGTCCGCGCTGCGCTCGGAGAGCAACGCTGTTGCGTCCATTGAAGGCAGTTCAGGACTAGAGGAGGCGCAAAGAAAATAGGCAGCGAGAGTGCACGAGCAAAGAGGAGTGACGCGCACTACACACCTTGCGCATTCTCCGCGCCCTGCGCGGACGGCCTATATTGGTAATGCCGAAAAAAAGTAGAATTGGCTGTAATGATAACTGCTCTTGAAATTTGCGTGCCAACCTTGTGGTAAAGGTAGTTTCATACAATGTCTTTCAAATTCGCCAAACGGCCTTCTACAGATATAAAGATGAAAAGGTTGCAAGAAGCTGGCTACAGGAGGTTTAAGGCAGTGTTCGGGCAAGGTGGGGGAAATTTTTGAAAATCACTACCATGCGAAAGTAGCCCCTCAAACACAACATCGCGTTAGTGCGAGGTCATGCCATTCGACCTAAAGCAAGAAAAACGACCTGAAAGTGGGGGAACTTACGCCTTGGAGCGGGGTCCTCCGCCCTGTTTGAATTCCGGCTATGAGGCGTCCGCATGCCGACAGTCAAAATCGTAGAGTCCCACAATAACTCTGCGTCTCAGCCTTGGAGAGAACCGTCGAAAATTGTAGCATTGGAAAACGCATGTTCTCGCCGTTTTCGCGCCTTCTAATGAATTTTCGGATTCAGCGTTGCGGATAACCCCCGGTAAGTGGATTTTCTAAAAAATCGAGTTTTTGCCCGGACATTACCTTTAATGCAAGAAATATTCAATCATCGCAATATGGGTTTCTCTTTCAACTCTGAAGCAATAAGAGGCGCTCTTTAAAAAAGTCGTTAAGCTTTAAGCTGCTGAAAAGACATTAATCCTGAGATGTGCTTAGAGTTTGATAATTGCTTTGTCTCACAACGCTCGTAAGCATCCCATTTGCATTCCATTTTGTTGTACTTCCTCCTTTAAAAATCCCCCTATGCGAATGCGAACTTACAACTGTAGCATTCATTTCACCAGATATGCGAACCATTTGCTATTGCTGAACACCGCCAGCGCCACAACTTTTCAAGGGACTTTTTCCGAATATGGAATGCTGCACGTACTCAGTGTGCTAGGAAAGCTTCGACAATATCCAGCTTGTTGAGATCGGCCACACCTTTAGCCTTCTTCAAGATTTTTCAGGCCTGGCAGGGCATAAGGTGGATAACGTTCATGGAGGAACTAGCCGGCTCCGCCCGGCTCTGTCAAAAACGATAAATTTTCCATTCCTATCTCTGCACACTTTTACCTGTGCCCACTTCTACATGCAATTCCCTATTCCCGCTTGAGTAGTCAGTATGCTCATCTACCTTCCTCACCAATCCCCGAGCCACGTAGCTCAAACTTTGCAAAAAAAACAATAAAATCGACAAAAGTAAGGATAATTTTAAAAACTGATGGCGTTATTCGGCTTTCCGGGCCATAAAATGTTTTTGTGGTGTGTCTTGCTCAAACTCGGTCTATGGGGGTTATTCAAGCCGCTGA